GAGAGAGAGAGAGAGAGAGAGAGAGAGAGAGAGAGAGAGAGAGAGAGAGAGTTTTCCATCGATAGGATGAGCAACACCCCGGCCAACAGGTAAGTCTCCAACCCCGCGGCTGGGCTCACGCTACTTCCACTAGAACATGGAAATATACTGGTACTTATTTTGAAGAATGAGGTCCCCCACCATGTAGTCCCCGACGTTCGCATGCGGGTGGCAGGGTCACATTCAAAAATTTCGCGGCACGTAGCCTGTAGCAAGTTTGAATGTGTTTGAACGTGGTTCCCGCCCGTTTGAATGCGAGTGTTCAAACACGCACGCGCGTTCACAATGTTCAGACCGTCATATAGTTCCCTACGCCATTCCATTTGTTGATATAAAAAGTTATAATCTAGTTAAATCATTACCTAATTTCGTTCCACTAATGCATAGGCTTGTCGGAAGAAGACCATCATGAAAACACACGTCGAGGAGATCCCTAATAGAAGCATTCTCTTCGAAGATATACACTTGTTTATATGCCGGGCCAGGTGGACATTCTTCGTTAGCGTACAGATTGGGAAAACATAGTTTCATCTTCAATACTTCAACAAAGTAAGCACTTAATTACAAAATAAATGTGATATAGAAATAAGGCCTCAATCATTTAAAATAATTTTGCTTTCCATGCACAGTTGCAACACAATCGTGAGGCAGTGGATTACCCCAGCACACCAGTTTTATTGATGAGAGCTTCAATAATTTTCTTCACGAGAAGCTTGATAGGCAGTGTCGAGTGGAGTGGAGGCGACACCATCCTTGCTTCAAGTCACCGCAACAACATCCTTGCTTACCGGGAAGGAATAACAGTGTAGTCCTCCTAACCGCCACGGCCAAACCAGGAAGGGCGGGTAACGTTCCCGATTCCTTGGGACTTTTGAGTAAGTCGCTGTAGTGTGGCAACTACAATTGTTCCAAGCAGTGCGTTAGCGCCACCGGAAACAGCTCTCGAAGCTACGTTCTCGCCTCCCTACCAACTCGTTTGTTTTTTTCCCCTTCTTGGTATATCCGTATGTTTTGTCGGTGGTGATTTAGTTACAGGGGTAGGATGGGAAACATTGTATTCTGGTGAAGCGATCATCATATACCTTGAAGGCATGTAACAACATACATAATGCATAAGCACACCCGTGCAGTGCAGAGCACACACACCAAAATAACAAGAACAATGAGGACAAAACGAGAGAGACAAGAATAACAGAAATTTGAACACAAATTATACGATGGAAAATAGACATGTCATTGAAGCACAGTCGCGGCGGATGACAAGTTGTCACATAGGTTGACGCGAAACCAATGTCACCTTTCGACCGATCTCCATTTGGCCATCTTTAGGGGTAGAGTACTTTTTCCACAAATAAGAATGAAAGTCATGGAGGTTCCATATATACCATTCTCGTTTGTAAAAACCCCACTGCAAACCCACTTTGAAGAAACCAAGTCTACGAGACCGGTGTAAGGGATTAGGAATATGAGGATTGGGATAGGGATTAGGAATATGAGGATTAGGATTGCGAGGACGCCTATGCTTGGTTTGCCTGCTTGAAGTTGCTTGCTCGCGTGTTTCTGCGAAGCTTTGCCTGTTCGTTTGTTTTGATTTCTTGGACTGTTTGATTTTTGTGCTCTGATGATCATGTTTCTTTGTTTGTATTACTTTTGCGCTTCGATGATCATGATTGGTTTGCTTAGGTAACTAGGAATGCGATAGGGTACGAGATGCATCAGGGTTCTGTTAGGGGCACGGCAGGGGTACTGTCGGGGCTCGGCATGCCTGTATGGTGCCAATATGCAGGTCAGCGTAGTAGGAGCACAAAGTAATATTTGGCGAGATTTGGGATGTTTTGTCTTGTCGTGTGGGTGTATCTTGAAAAAGTAAACAGGTGGGTAGTGAACCCGGTAAGTGCACAGTACCAGGTAGGAACCGGACAAAGTAGGAACAGGCGCGAAAAGTCAGGATAGCGGCCTGACTAAGCGAACGGACATATGGTACAGGGAAAGTATATAGGCGAGTACTTTGTTTTCGAGTGTCTTTTTCGGGTCTAATGTCAACGCTTGCTGTATCATTTCCAGAGATGAACGGAGAGGCGGAGACAGCGGTGGGAACGGGGAAGAAGGTGTCAGATTAGGGAGACGTAGGTGGATCCCCCTGAAGAGAGCCGCATGGCGGCGGCCGAAACCGGTCGGGGTGCCATACCCACCAGAAGCACAGTTTGATTTTGCATGCACTTTAGAGATTTTCGCATTGATAAAGTGAATTGTTTTGCAATAATGCGCGTCACTTGTGTACATGTGTATGCTTGCGACTCGAGTTGATTGCATCCGAATATATCTTACCAAGTCTACAGTCCTATGACTAAATTCAGTGATTCAAAGTTTTCCAGGCGAAAAAAAATACTTGCACAAGTGACTCCCACATCTCCGACCGACACCCGGCCCAAGGCCGTATGCGCTCGATAGTATTAAGGATTTTTGTTTGAGGACCCTCAATGCCCCTCATATAGGGTTAGTAATGAATTTTTGCCTGCGCAACCACCCTAGTTCAACCGATAGCCTTCTAAATTAGAAATGTGTACCTATCTGTTCCAAACAAGACTGAACAACCTCAAAAAATAAGTAAGACTCTGGTTAAAGTACCTATCTGAAAAACATCTCTGTCGTAATTCAACCATCGAAGTTAGTAGCAAGCCTCGCCTTGCCTCGTAGCATGTTGTTCGAACTTTTGCCATGTTTAAGAAAGATTCAATTTCATTCAAAACTGTTGGGATGTATATGATGAGAAGTTTTGCAAACTTCGGAATACAATACTTTTTTTTTTTTTTTTTTTTTTGAAAAAAGCTCCAATCTATTGGTGGGGAGCCTCACCTGCTGGAAAACGGGTCCATCGTCCCTTTTGCTCATTAAGAAGAAAGTCAGGAATAAGTAAAGAAAACAATAAGGTTTTGGCTGTCATAATTGACTACTCCGTTAAGATGGAGTGTTAAGTATGAAGTTGATCTTTCGAGGGTTCTGTCCTGTTCCACCATTGTTGTATTATCGTACGCGCCTCTCGAGTGGTACACGGTCTTCAGAGGGGCGCGGAGGCCGGGCACGGGGAAGATGAGAAATGTAACCATTTCAGAAGTACGGTTTTTGACTCAGAAAGGCGTGATCTTGACTCCATTTAAGAAGAGAGGGAGGACGTTTAAAAAAAGATCAGAAAAAAGAAGAAGAAAAGTTATAAAAAAAATAAATAAATAAAAAAAAAAGGAGAAAAAAAAAAACCTCAGACCGTCCTTACCTCAACGAGGGCGAGCGAGTGTGGAGGGAAGGGGTCCGGGAAGTCGGATGGGCGGCGCATTGGGAAAGTGGGTTCTATAGTCCTTGTATTCCGCTATCTCCCGTGGCTGCCCTTCATCCTTATCCCCCCCCCATTCCACTTTCGCCATCCATCCTCCCCTATCCCCTCCTAACCAGGTTTTGCAGAGGAGGAGAGTGCTCGCTTGATATTTGTATTTGTTTGGAAGAGATCAAGTTGGGGTTTCAATACCTGCCATCTTCTTATTATCTTCATATTTATTTGTTGTTGGATCTGTTCGGTTATTTCTGGCCCTTCTACCCTCACCCCTTGTATAGCCAGGAGGCATCGTTGCCACCAAAGTCCCCATAGGATTGCTCTCCATCCCAATTTAAACATGTTCTCTACAAAGTCAGATGCCACCTGGGCCTATGGCCAGAAACGTGTGAGAATGACCCTCCATAACCACAGCCATGGCGGGTCAGGGACCATCTTTCTCCATATACTATCTCACTAGTGCCACATTAGTTTCACCGTGGGGCATTGCATGGACACATGCTCGATGGTTTCTGCCCTCTTGCTTGTCGGAAAGGCTTGGAAGCATCGCGGGCACCAGGGTAGGGCTTGTCCTTTCTGCTCCAGATTTATATGTCAATCAACCAATTCATAGTAGGGAGGCAGCAGTGGGCAATCTGCCACTGTAATGAGGTGATTGTTGCCGGTTTTGCTTTCCGTTCTTGAAACCAGGGGATTGCTGTGAGAAGAGAGTAGTCCACATTAAGGTGTTTTGCCCATCTGTCATTTATCACATCTCTCAACGGTCTCTTGGGTCTAAGCATTTTGTACATGGATTTGATAGTCAAATTGTGGAGGCTGATCTTCTTGTTGGGGCTTGCCCTTCGCCCCGCGGGTTTCCACTCCCACTCCTCTGGGTCTAAAGGCAACTCTTGTATTCCAGTGGACTGCTGAAAGGCTCAGGCTTCCTCTCCCTCGCCCTGGACTCGTATCCGGAAGACTTCTGTCTTGTCCATCCAGATAAAGGGATCCCGATTGCCCTGCAAAAATCCTAATCGACTGAGTATGTATCTTTCTACTAGGGCGTCGTGGGACCTTGTCACATGTATTCTCCTTAGGCGCCCAAGGTGTCCTCTAAGCTCGACCCAGTCCCCTTCCTTCAACGATGGGCCTTTTCTCAACATCCTATACCACGAGAGTGGTATCCTCTCTATGAGATTGTCTGACGTGGTGACATTGTTTTAGCGTGGAACGTAGTTCTTGTACTATCTTCCAGTTTTTCCGCAATTCCATTAACTTCCCTATATCTCCTATTCTGATTACCCCTTGTTTCACCCATCCTTTCCACGAAGATGCTGAGTTGTTCATCACTTGGCCTTGCCTATTTTTGAGCCAGCGGTTCCCAAAAAAGGGTTGACAGAAAACCTCCTCCCACCGGTCTGGGTGCTGCCTTTCCGGGGGGGGGGGAGTCGTTGCCAACTTCTCAACAGCGAGGGCCAAAATTGGTCCATGGCCCTGTTCAGGCTCCCTCTCCTGTTCGACCGTTTTTTGGGATCGTCCAGTAGCGATCCTCCAATCACGTCAGAGGATGTACTCCAGGAGGGGCGGGGGGAGCTAGGCGTGTTAGGTGCTCTAGGGTAGAGGTTGCCACAGACAGTCCATGGCAAAGATCAATTTTCTGATCTATGGACGTCGCAGGGTTTGGGTTTGTGCTGTCTGGTCTATTATTCCCAAACCTTCTGCACTCTTTGGTTGGATGACCGAGTCCCAGGCCACCCTGCTGATGACGTTTTGCAGGTCGCCGTCTCCTCGCCATAAAAAGGCTGCCACCTTAGCTTTTAATGCTCGTACCGCCTGTTTGTTCAAGGGCCAGACGAGAGACTTGTACCATTCTGACGAAAAAAACACGTTGTTAATTACCAGTGCCCTGCCTAGAAGGGAGGTGGACTTCTTTCCCCAACTTGCTTAGGGTCGAGGTGATCCATTCGTCATTTGTTTGCGGACAACCTGCCGTCGTCATTATCGAGACTCCTGTGATTCTGAGTGGGGCCTCCAGAGGGAGCCATGAAATGTGTGGGGTTTCTAGGGGGCGCCCACCTTGAGAGTGGATCCACCATCCCTGCGTCTTGTTTCCCCAATTTACTGCCATGTCGGGAACCTAAGAGAACCGTTCCATCAAGCGTTGGATCTCCTCCATGTTCTCGGTCATGCTGTCGACCGTAATCGTGAGGTCATCAATCACAAGGAGCATACCGAGATCGCTTCTTTTGGAATATGAGATATTTTAATTCTGGAGATGTCCTTGTTAGTACGAAGGTTTGCCGACAAGGCTTCCATGATGATTAGGAAAAGGAAGGGGCCTATCAGCTCCCCTTGGCGCACCGAGTATTCTAATTTTAAGGGGGGGGCATTGGTTAAAGATGTTCTGACTATTTTTATGAATGACGGCATATAACACTTTATTAGGGTTGTGAAACATTTTGATGATGCAACCAAGATAGTCTCAAACATCGCTCAAACTTAGTTCTTTTCAGTTGTTGAAAGATTGGAAGCGATGCTCAACATCCACCCTCATGAAACGTCTATCGGAACCCGAAAATACTACGACGTCATCAACTAATCTGTCTTCAATGAAGTGTATCCATTGGTTGCCTAATGAGCGGATAAAACAATACTTATTATAAACGAAGCAAACATGTTAATGTTGGGCTGGCAGGCTTGCCCAAAGGGATGCTTACCACCTGTTGAAGTGTCACATCCATACATATCGTAAAAGTATTTACAAATTCAAAGGCAGTAATCTAAATCAACTTCGAGAATTTTGGTATGAGTCAATCATCAAAAACATTTTTGATATGCGTCATTTTAACACTCGTACTGTGTCTTTTGATTAAGACATCGGTATGCCATTTTTCCTCATACCATGCAATCACCTATTCCACTACCTGCAATTTGGATAAATTTAGGAGATTTAGAAACATTTCCTTTATATCAAAATGGGTTGCTAAGAGATTGTGAGAAAATCCCAGATAAGTAGTTCATTCGGACAAGTCGTTGGAGAAGGTTGCTTGGACATTTCATATTGAAACTATTGTTCGTAAAGACTAAAGGAGATGGCCCACTAACTTTGAAATAACTATGCTCAATCGTGCCAACGGATCAAATAGAATGTGTATATTGGTCTTCGTTGGGTGACATCTTTATGCTATACATCAATTGCTCAATTTGCAGAAATTTTAATCCGTGAAAGTTTTTCTTATTGAAACTTTTAAGTTTTAGCTCAAATTTTAAGAAAGGAAATTGGAATAATAAGCAAAAATCAAAGTTTTTTTATATTAAAAAATAAAATTCATAAGAGTGATTCCATTTGCAATTCAACAGTGTATTATTAACCAATTCCTAAAATAATAAAAATATCTAGGCTACCAGAGTGGCTCGAGACCACTTGTCCAGCCGGGCTAAAAATATATATATATATATGACGATATATATATATATATATA